GGAAATTTACTAGCATTTTCTGAGTGAAAAAAGTTGCCTAGCTTTTTTCAAGTAAATCCAACTCCAATTTTGTTTTTCAGTGTACAATACAAGAGTACCTTAACGCTCTTGATAGTGATGATATTCCAAAGGCATGGAAACAGCGATGACGTCGCGCTGTTGAGAGCACAAAGAGAAACTGGTTTAATTTATGTGGCACGTGGGCTGGGGTGGCAGTGATACATGGTTGGGTTCAGCGATTGAAAAGGAGAGGAAATAACTTGGAAACGGTCACTAAAGCAGATACGGGTGCAATACATCAACTACAGTATTTACCAACATAAATGGCCATTACACATCCATTCCATGTGATTCAGTGACCAAACACTGGAAGCGATTGTGAACGACTTTTAATTGGTGAATTAAATAAAGTCAAAAACTATTCAATTATTGCAATTGGGCCACTCATAATTGCACTCCAAAAGATCCACAACTGAGGACAGGATAGTGTCCATATTGATATTTATGAGAATTATTGTTACGTCTTTATTTTGATGGTCCACTTTATTTAATTTAATGTCTGCATTAGTAGACTGTTCAATAGAATATGCTGGAAAGTTTTAGCATGTCTGTTGGGGAGCATCAAAATAAAGTTCAATCATTTGAAACTCACTTATTTCCAGTGGATGTTTCAACGGCATTGACTTTTGCTTCTCGGGACACGGGTCCAGGTGTCTACGCTGTAAAAATGAATATGCTTTATCTAATCAAAACAACAGATTACAAGCAATATTATTCATTAAATTTAACAAATTAGAACTGAGTAATAATTAAGGAAATTAATTTCTTAGAAGTTAACCATTTAAAATGAGTAAAACTATACAACAACCAAAAAAACGTATTTTAAGTCACCATTATGGTGATCAGTGTTTGTTTTAGGTTTGTTTGAAAATGACAGTTTTCTCCTTCAGTGATTCTGCTTGTTAACATCAGGTGTCTTCAATGTTGGCAATATAAAATAAAGAGTTCTTAATTAATCTTTGACATCTAATATTGCTTGTAATCTGTTACCACAATTTTATTGATTTGATAAAGCGTATTCATTTTACAGTGTAGTTCTGCCTGATTATAAGAAAGAAGAAGAGAAACGGATACAGATAATGCCTGTGGATTCAAATCTGAAATAATAAAGACATCACCTCAGTCAAACTCGTTCATTCTCCAACTCTCGTTTCTCCAGGATCATAAACCTGTACGCTCAACATAAAATGATCCTTATCGACAGCTCAATTTTACAAACAATAATCATCTTTTGATATTTCACTTTGCATGAAAAACTAGCACCAACAACCTTCTGATTCACTCTGAAACCAAACGAATAATAAAACACCACATTTTTCACTTTTATTTACTTTTTTTCACTTTTTAACTCAATGCAAATTTATTTAATCCTTTTCAATATAAAATTTAATCTATCTACAGTATAAGTATTCATCATATGATCTCCTTTCTTTTTATGTGCTTAATCTTACTTAAAGGGATAGTTCACTTTGAAATTAATTTTTGATATGTTTTATCTTACCTCAAGGGCATCTAAGATGTAGGTGTCTTTGTTTCCGCAGTAGTTTCAATTTTGATATTTTTAGGTCAAACCGGTGTTGTCTGTCAGTCATATAATGGAGGTCTATGGTCACCACCTCAAAGAGTATGCACAGAGAAGTCCAAATTAAACATGATTTAATGACTCGTAAATGTACTTTAAAATTAATTAATTGTACTGTAAAATTTAGATCCTGTATATCGAAATATGTTTATGTGTCTGTGGTTACAAGAGGTAAAAACGATATAAATACTGTTCGTTTTCTCACACAAACCGCTCGTTTCGTGTCTTAGGCCATCAATGTGTACTTACATTTACGAGTCATTAAATCATGTTTAATCTGGACTTCTCTGTGCATGCTCTTTGAGGTGGTGACCATAGACCTCCATTATTATATGACTGACAGACAAGAACGGTTCGACCTAAAAATATCAAAATTGAAACTACTGTGGAAACAAAGACACCTACATCTTGGATGCCAAGTGTTTATGAAAAAGAGTTGACAGCTGAGTCTAATTTTGTGCATAAGAGGCTGCAGTGCTAAAAAAACTGAAAACATATATATCTGGATAGGCATTAAAGGCCGTGCTTTCCCTATCAGATCTTTAATATCCCTCAAATTTACGGCAGGTTTTAATGCACTCTGCGACGGACTAAATGAATGTGCGTCGGGCTAAGGCTTTATGAAGCATCTTTTTCATTCGCACTAGTTCACCAGCAAGACTTTTAAATGGTCACCGGTGGTATTTGTTTATAAAATCCCTGGTGTGCAGTCATTACTTAGAGCTACACACACACACACAGCAACCATTTACTGTAAGAGAGAGAAAAATCACATTTCATTTATAAAACCAATAAACAACCCCCTGACTTCCCCACCGGCAGTTTCCATTTGATTCCACAAACAAACAAATAAACAAAGCGGGATGGAGATGAGCAGAAGTAAGAGGAGGTGTAGGACGAGGAGGCTGGGGAGAGAGGAGGTGCTCGGGGAACGTCTTTGTTGTGATTCGTATCCCAGATGGATGGCTCTTACAGAGCCGCGTATTTATTTTTCCGGGGAGCTACGTGGGAAGATTTGTTATTCCCTGGCGTTCCCTAGTTTTTCACATTGCTCTACATCCCGGGCTCCATATTTCATCCTTACACCCCCAATTCCCAAACAGATTTATTTACAAGCTATATTCAACCAGCCCCCCTCCCTCCTCCTCCTCCTCCCCTTGTTTGCATCTCTTTTTTTCATCTCCTCACTCTCGATCGTGCGCCGGTCTGAACGGACTGTGTGTGTGTTGACCTGTCTGACAGGAGGACTATATCTGAGTTGGTCTAAGTGTGTGTGTGTGTGTGTGGTGTGGTTCAGAACGAGACGATGTCCTGCGTGTCAGAGGACTGGAAGGGTTATTTATGTGGAAAACTGTTGCTGAAAATGGTTTTGCTTTTATGGTCTATACATCTGAATATAGTGTGTGGGAAAAGCACATGTGTGTATGACTAATGATTTTGCGTTATACAGAGATATCAAACTATATTCACACCACTGCCTCTCTGACCTTAAACTAAACATATATTTAACAATTACAATTATACACTGATCAGAAATGGAGGATGAGGGCTTGAACACATCACTCACTCACTCATTCATTCATAGGTGTGTGTGTGTGTGTGTGTGTGTTTGCATATACTCACGCTATCCCCGCCCCTTCCAAAACGACAATATGACATCTTCTATCAAGTTGGCACAGATGCGCTATAGAGTCTTGAAGTTTTTATAAACACATGAAATCAGAGAATGAGAGATGGGATTTATCCTCTGGCATTTAAACGGAGGAGTTTGTTGAGAAATGAACCATAAGCTTGAACTTTTAAAATGAATCGTCAAACGTTTCCATTGTGGAAAAAGAGTGAAATATATCGATGAAATGGAACCGTCCATGTGTTGAGGTGAGGACTGGAATAAACCATTTGAATGTGTGGGGTGAGAATGGAGTGTATTATGACTCCAATATATCAAGAGGCTAAATGGGCTTGTCTGAGTAAGGGGTGAGAAAATCTCTCTCTCCCTCTCTTTCTCTCTGCCATTATCTGAGAGGAAATATCTGTAATCTTGTAGTTCAAATGGTTTTCATCTAAATCAGCAAGCAGGTTAAAACCATTTATTAAATTAAATTAAAAGAACAACATAAAATTGTAAAACACAACACGCTGGAACTAAGCAAAGCAAATAAAAAATGTTTAAACGTATTATTTATTTTTTTGTTGTTATTATTATTATTTGATTATTGTGACATTAATTTCCACACATTATTGTTGTCTCTGAATCTGATCATGGCTGAGATGACATCGCAGACTAAGAACCTAATTTTGAGAAAACGATCCTCGCATGGTAGCTAACATAAACAAATGCAGAAATGAAAGCAACCCACAAAAAAAAAAAAAAAAAAAAAAAACTGAACGGACGAACGAACGAATGAATGAATATATAACACTAGATATTTCATATTAGTTCACCATTAATCCTCGTCTCTGTCCACTCTTGTTTTCAAGCATCAAACTTGCGAAACCCCGTCCGTCCAGAGCTGTTTAGGCCCCCGCCTCCTCTTCCTCCGGGCTCAGGGTCATTCATCACGGGGCAGGAGTGGAGCCCGGGGCCTGCGGGCTGCTGTCAGGTGCTCACATCGGCCCTTTGTGCCGGCCCGCAAACAAGTGTCGGATCAGCAAAAGTCTATTAAAGGCTGGTGGGCTTTTCACAAGCAATTGGCAGCGGGTCACTGACTTCACTGCTCCGACTCTCTGGACCCTCTTTGTGTCGCCGGCGTGCCGTGACAGATCCCGGCAAGATTAATGATTTTTAGCAAGCATTTCTTTTTCTATTTTTTTTCTCTCTCACCTCTCTCTTCTGCTCATCCGCCTTCGTCACCGCGCGCGCTCTCTGTCTCCAAACCCAGGATTATTCGCGCTCTTGGAGAGTGCGCGCGCTTTCGTCTCGTTTCCCATCGCTTTTTATGCTCTGTCAAAACTCTACCAGTATTCGGGGAATTTGGGACACTGTGTAATGTGGGACACATAGCAAGTCTGGGTTGTTTATAGCCTATATAAATCGCGTTTGGTTTTCGTTGAGAGCTGGTAAACTGTTGAATACGCTAAATTCACATATAGCCTAGTGAGATCAGTGCGCTTAATGCGTAAAATCTGAGAATGCACCTCTTGCTTTTCTATTTACAATACTGATCTTTTTCAAACATTTAAATAACCTAAAATAGCGTCTTCTGTTACTCATTACGCAGCCACACATGAAGGCTTGCTATATTCACATTTGACTGAATTTTGGATTCAGCGCAAAATCTTAAGTAGGCCTAAATAATTTATAAAAACTGTTTTTGCATGACATTTAACGTGTGCTTTATTTTTTTAAAACCCATATTACTTTCAATTACATTAATTATTACTTGTATTTTTAATGTATTACTTACATACTTACATTTTTTAAAACTTTGTTTTCATAACCGATTTTGTGCTGTTTGCTAAATATCACGAATAATACAAAGCGCTTGAAATGATGTAAAGAATATAAATATTGCATGTTTTACCGCTTTTTAGACGTTTTGTGAAATAAATTTAGGCATGGCCTATAAATGTAAAATCGCAACGAGAGGAAATACAGTCCATCTGATTATACGAATAACTCATATTTAATAAATAACAATGACCGCTTCATTTGGCACAACACCACATAGGCTATTCTGAAATATATATATTTTTTCCCCTGCCCTCAATTATTTATAGCCTGTTTTTAAATAGCTATACCCTTATATTTTAGGTCTCTTTTACGTGTATTCATATAGGCTAGTAAATGATGGATATTAATAAGAAAGGCATTATATTACGATGATTGATGATAATGAGGTGGTGATTATCATGTAGGTCAGACAGAATCCTTAAACTAAAGATAAACCATAATTCCATGTCTAATAGCTATATCCTTAACTTTTCCCGTCATCAGTCATTATAGTATCGCTTAATTCACAGCCTTCTTTGATTGACGGCGTCGTGTTTTATATAGGCGCGTTAAGCACAACTATCTTTACTAACAACTGAGGTGACAATCTATTCATTTATAATATTAGACATGCATTTTCAAATCATTATTTACATGAGGCAGTATTAACAAAACGACAAATATACACACTGATTTCAGAAACATGCATGCACTAATAAAAGAATTGCAATCACAAATAAGCCATTGCTTTGTGGGTCTGTAGTGAATTTGTCTCATTCATGGATATCTAATGTTACATGTAGGCTAATTTTTCTAACAGAACCAATGAGTCACTTTGTTTTCATAAAACTTGAAATTTATTTATTTATCTTATCTATCTATCAATCTGTTATTAGTTTATGCGTCTGCGTTAGAATAAAGAAAGAAAGAGAAGTAGCAGGCGTGATTTCGCTGTGTGTATCAGGCTGTCTCCACTAGGGGCGTCGCACTCTTGGAAATCTCTCGGCTACTCGTTATAAAGTTACTCGGTTGGTAAAAGTGGATCTCTTTCCGATTTCATCAGTATCACAGTTCGAGACATTTTATATCAGATCAAGCGCACTCTTTCTACTCAGATAGCCTGTAAGTGTAGCTAAATACCGCTAATATCTGTATCGTTTTATAAAGTGCTAGTCATTTTCGTTGTTTTCTTCTTTTTTTTCATATTTGAAAGCGTTGCCTGCCTTTAAGAGATTTCAGAATATATTTTTTAAACACATGTTTTAAACACATTTGTATTGCTTCGAAACGTTTTTAAACGCCATTTCTATTACCTAGGTTGCATACGATTTATATAATACCCTTAATAACACTGTTTACGACGTATACATTTTGTGCATTTTACTTTTAAAGCTGTTGATAACAGCTATAATACAAGAATTAATAAAAAAACCCTAGGCTACATACTATGATGAATATAAACAGGCCTATGAGAAGGGTCTTTTTACAGATGAAATTCACGAAATAACGTTGACTTTAAATAAGAATAAGAACTGGATCTGTAATTGATATTATATATTATCAGTGGTGCCAAATTGGTTCAAGTTCTTTTGGCCATGTCTGTTACATATTGATACCCTTCTCTCCTAATAGATGATGTATTCTGTTTCCCACTTTACTCTTCTAGAAAGCAGAGCACAAGTCTTTCGCAGCCGCCTGTGTGTGTCCCGTGAGGAAGATGACGAGGAAACAAGAGAATACTTTCTGTCTGTCTGTCTGTCTCTCTCTCACACACACACCCGCGCGCGCACGCGCATTGATCTGATGAAATCATTCAATATTAAACGTGCCTTTGCTTTTTCTTCTAAAGACTTCTGCAATGTTTTAAACAAAAAATACAGCAAAATCCACCTGTCTTCACACTTCCAGAAATGCAGATAGAAATATAGTTATCGATATTTCTTACTTATCGTGATGTCCACAGCTGAAAGTCCTACATGTCCTTATGAGCGATAAAAAATACCAGCATTCTTCCCAAGCCTAATGTCTCAGGCCTGATGTTTTCACCGACACACGCTCCACATCCTCTCGCTTTGACAACTGCTCTTAGAAACATCTCTGAGCTGATTTTATTTCTCTTATTCATTCCTAAAATTCGTAGGATGGGAATCTCATTAGGCCAAATAAGCGTGCATCAACACTTTTTCCGCTGTCCATAAGCAAGAGGATCACTTAATAGATCATTAACCAGCAATATGCTGCTGACAGGAGAGTTTTTCGGCATCTCCTCTCCATTAGAGAGAGAGAGAGGAACCAGTAGGCGAGTCTGAGGGAATCAGAGCGCGTGACTGTACGGGCCCGCGCGCGTGATGAGACGGGCCCGCGGTACCGGCGGACTCAACATGTTTCCTCCACTGAGTTATGTGACGCGATATGATCTGACTTTTAGGGCTTTGTATTATTTCATATCGATGAAAGAATTCACTGTTGGCTTTGTAGTTGACGTGGAGATGCGATGCAGTGGCATTATTGTTTGTGATACGGGTGAGTAAAAATCGCAATGACCGAAAACAGGAAAACTACTTTTTTATGGCAGTGGCCGGGGGAAAGGGAAAATTCTACAATTTAAATAATTATTTATGAAATATGCTCAAATAATCAATAGCCTACATTTAGCCTAAATGCGGAGTGCGCAAGTGAGTGTCGGTTAAATAATAAAGACAGTAATACAATAAAGGCTATAGCCTTTTCAGTGCGGTTTTTATTTGACTAAATACACAGCCCGGACTGATTGGATTGCTGAAATTGAATTTCTGCGCCTGTTTCTTAAAGTCAATTCTATTAATATCTGAGCAAAGACATCATAGTTAGCAAAAAAATGCAATATGGAAAATCGTACAATTTTTCAAAATGCGTCTAAAGTTAAAAAAAAAGTGGTTTTGGGTGGAGAAGGGAAGGAGGAATTGTTATTGAATAATTAACAACAAATATATATAGGCCTCGATAGAAGATCAAGACAGACGCTGGAAAAACGATAAAAGCAATAGGCTAGGTCTTTTATTGCGTTTTTTATTACTGGCATTATACTTATAGAAATATTGTAAGCATTTTAATGAATAAATAATGTGTTTGTGTGCCTAACACTAATAATCAATAGGCTTAAACGACGCTAACCATGCCTGTCATAAAAGATGACCAAAACACTAAAGCACATTGCGTCTTTTACGCACGAAAGTTTTAGGTCTTCCACGTTCAGAGATTTATAAATGATTTATTTATTCTCATTGACACTGTGTTAGATCTTACAGTCGATTAGATAATACAGGGCTGCAGCTGCGCGCGAGGTGAGCGCGCGGCAGTGATCATGCGCGCCACATGAGGGCAGCGTTGGGTGAGTTTTCGTCAATCCACCGTCACGCGCAGCGCAAGACCAGCCGTTCACCTTTGAAAATTCAAGTCACTAATAACACAATCACTCATCTTCCTTGCAAATCACATGAAAACTTGTTGAGTTGAGAATTCTCCAAACATGTTTGTTTGAGTGAGTAATTTTGCCACAATGCACACAAGCTTTCGACTACCGTTATTGCAACTAAATAACAATTGTGTTGAATATTGTTTCAGACTAATGGGCTATCTATTTAAAACAAAACAGTCGTGCATCATCTCAACGTTTTGTCTTTATTTTAAAGGTTCACTTAAACTAATTAGAAGTGCCTGTTTTCATAAGATATAACTCAGTACATGTCGTGCTTTTTCTTTTCCCATATCCAATCAGTCAATACGCGAAATACCACTGTCCCTTTCTTCATCCCGTCAGCTGACAAACACACAAACAACGATCATTATGCTAATCCCGCCGCTCTCACTGGTCGCCAGGCGCTCTGACGTCACGCGCGCGCACACTATAACAGCGCGGAGAGCTCTGGCGTCCTGCTACAGTCTGAGTACTCAGGAGTGAGAGCGAGCTGAACTCTCTGCGGTGCAGAGCTGGAGAAACACAGCACACGTCGCTGGCTTAAGGACATATTTCTGGAGTATCCGGGATCGGGACGGGAGCCCTTCTCCGGTACTCATTTGTGTCTTTTATTTATGCTCTGAGTTCAAGTGCGGCGACGGGACGCGAGAGAGAAACTTGACTTTTTTTCCCCCCTTCCTCTAGTCCTGCGAGTAGAGACTCCAAAAGACTGCAGCTGAAAGTCGAGGTCTGTTCGTCCATATGAGGCAAATGTCTTTTGCAGTGCATTAGTCCTGAAAGTTTTCTCTCTGTTTTTTTTTCTTTTGCTGTTTGAACAATTTCCGAGTGACTCTGAATGCGCTCGAGCGCGTCGCGTTCGGAAACCCATCCAGAAATATTGCATGCGCAAAGGCGAAAGTCGGATTTTGCGACGTTGGTAAACACTTTGCTGAAGAACAGGGGCACGATGAGCGCAGATCTCGCCATGGGGCCCGAGCTGCCCACCAGCCCGCTGGCGTTGGAATATGTCAATGACTTTGATTTAATGAAATTCGAGGTGAAGAAAGAGGCATTGGCGGGGCTCGACCGCTCCAATATACGGCCGTGCAACCGCCTCCAGCCGCAGGGCTCCGTGTCCTCCACTCCGATCAGCACCCCGTGCAGCTCCGTGCCGTCCTCCCCGAGCTTCAGCCCCACGGAGCAGAAGAACCATCTGGAGGAGCTGTACTGGATGCCCAGCGGCGCGTACCCGCAGCAGATCGACCCGCAGACGCTGAGCCTGACGCCCGAAGACGCGGTGGAGGCTTTGATCGGTGCCACGGCCCACGGGCACCCTCCGCCCCCTCATGTGCAGCAGCAGCTGCAAGCGGGAGCTTTTGAGGGATACAGGGGCGCGCATCACCACCACCACGGCCACGCGCAGCAACAGCAGCAGCAACAACAGCCGCAGCACCACCACCAATACGGCGCGATCCCGCATCATCCCGACGACCTGCCAGTTCACCCCGGCCACCACCAGCATCAACACCACCACCATCACCACCACCACAGCCAGGACCCCGACAGCCCCTCTCCCAGCTCACCCCAGCAGCTCCACCACCGCCACCACCACCACCACCACCCGCACGGACACCCGGGCCAGCAGGGTCACCACGGCCTGAACGTGGAGGACCGCTTCTCCGACGACCAGCTGGTGTCCATGTCCGTGCGGGAGCTGAACCGACACCTGCGGGGCTTCACCAAGGACGAGGTGATCCGCCTGAAGCAGAAACGGCGGACCCTGAAGAACCGCGGCTACGCGCAGTCGTGCCGGTACAAGCGCGTGCAGCAGAAGCACGTGCTGGAGAACGAGAAGACCCAGCTCATCAACCAGGTAGAGCAGCTCAAGCAAGAGATCAACCGGCTGGCCCGAGAGAGAGACGCCTACAAACTCAAGTGCGAGAAACTGAGCGGAGCGAACGGGTTCCGCGAGGCAGGATCCACGAGCGACAACCCGTCCTCTCCGGAGTTCTTCATGTGAGTGAGACCGAGACATTATACAGACACAGTACTGCTCCTATTAGAAGAATAACCACGAGAAATAATAACCGCATATGTGTAACCATCGCCACCGACCTCGGCAACTAAGAACATGTTAGAATGTTTTTTTTTTTCTGGGAAATGTAGATTAGTTGCTTGTAGTTTTACCCGTTTTCTTAGAGATCTGACGAGAAAAGAAAAGTGAAGAACTGGCTTTTTTGTGTGTGTGTGTTTAGGATAAGACCTTCTTTCCACATGGTTTTGTTCTCGTTTGTTCACGAAAAAGAAAAAAAGAAAAGAGTCTGTGCTAAGCGAAAAAGAGAAACTTTGGACTTTCCCCCCCAAACTTGGCCAGAAGAGTTGAGAGCGCCACAATATGCAAAACCTCCCTTACTTCTCCTGTGCGACCCGACAGGGGGACTTATGCAACATCTCATTGGTTTATTGCCTGCTTGGTTATATATAGATATTATATATATATATATATATTAAAAAGAAAAGAAAAAAAAAAACGACAAACACATAAATCTGCATTAAGATATTAATCCTGCATGCTGGACATGTATGGTAATAATTTCTATTTTATACATTCTTTCTTTCTGTCTTTCTTTCTTTCTGTTCATTATGTATCATAAAGAGCATGTTTTTGATCTTTAGCTCTTTTTTGGGGATATGAGACTGGGTTCATTTTGGACTTGTAAATATATGCAACAGCAAACCTACAAACCGACATCGAAGAGCTGATTGTTTTCCATCGTTTATGATTTGTTTCATGTTTTGGGAATTGATTTCCAGTAATGGGCATTTTTGCGGTTGCATTTAAACTTTTTTAAAAGAAGCGCACTTTTGTTTATGGGGGGGGGGCCTATGGGATTTTTGGGATTGGCATTTTTTTTTTGTTCGTCATCTTATAAGAGCAGACATTACACAGGTGACGTTATCTTGACAGTCATATCTGATTGTAGCGAGACACAAAAGTGCGCGCGCGTGTTTTTCCCTTTCATGCAGGCTGTTGCATAATCTATCGCTATTCTATAATATAAGTAATTCTTATAGGTCGTATCTTTTTGATGGATATTGGCACCCTTTCATCATCATTTTTATTATTTTATATTTTTGTTGTTGTTGAGCTATATGAGCTGCCAGTTTTATAAACCAACATTTCAAAATGTAGTTATTATAATCCAGCTCGAGGGTGTCAGGCTTCCTAAATCAGGGGTTTGTGTATTATTGCCTAACATGAAAACTACGCATGTATTTCAATGGAGAGTTTCAATGATCAATGTTTAATGTTTTCCTTTATTTTTTTTTCTGCCGGTCAGTAAAAAATAAGGGATTCAGGTTCTGCATAATCTCAAAATGAAAAATTATATGTCTCATGTTATGTTTTTGTTTTTTTTTCTTCTTCCTGTTTGTTTTATTATTATGTCGAGATTCTGGTTCTGCTGGCCAGATGCATAGTTTTTATTTTAATGATTTAAATTAACAAACTTGTCAGATCATATTTGAATAAGCATGGTGCTTGCATCTAAGAAATATTGTTAAAAAGTCATGCATTTAACAATCTTTTTGGTTTGTTACTGATTCAACTGTGTTGAAATCAAATGTAAACTGCAGCAGCGGGTTGTTGTTCTGTTTGTTAATTTCATGCTATTATGAGGGGATCAATTTTCAAATCTGTTTATATAAATGGAAAAAAAAAGAATAAGTTCAATTCGGACTGTTCCATTCAGGCTGGTTTCTGTTTCGTTTTTGCTGTTTTTGGAAGAAATGGTTTCCTATTTTGCTTATTAAAGTCAGTGAAACGACATTGATTTGGTAGCAACTCATTTGTATGCGTCTATGTGTGTGTGTCCAGATTTCGCCGCACTGTTATCATGTCTCACTTCAATCCAGTGGTATCGGTTATTCGTCGATCACGCTTATTGAAAATACGATGGAGGAACGATATCTATATTTTTTGTTGTTGTTGTTGTTTGTCTCTCGCTGAACTTTGAGCTCGAGCGAACCACATGCAGGAATTATGCGCTCTTACTATTAACAACTGGAAGGATTAAACTTTCTTTTGTTTAAATATATTTTGCTTGATAAGATAAAATATCTGAGACACGCCTTCTTTCTCAAAGTTTGAAATGCTTTTGGCTAGAGCGCGTTATTTTAGTAGGCTAAGCTACATCAAACATGAAGGGGTGTTTTTATATCATTTGTAAAAAGAAAGCAAGCTAAAATCAGAATGCGTGCTAAGTCTCTCTCTTTCTCTCGGTGTGTGTGAAGGCCTTCGCTTGTGTTGCGACCTGCAGGATTTGCAGCGCCTCGCGTGCTGACTCGAGCAGAATCCAGCGCGCACGTGCGCTCGGTAAAATGAGATCTTTGACCTTGCGCTCAAAGCCCAGACTGTGGGAACAGGACAATTAACCCTTCCGCCACTCAACACAACACACTTTTTCATATTAACAACCAATTTAACGACTAGTGTTGATATTTTTTGAACACTATACGATTCATAATAAAAAAGGTGCAAGCGTTACTTAGCCCAGTGTGACACCACGAGGATTTATAGGCCTATTTCGCGTGTGTGTAATACTAAAAAAACTATGCAGTCGTCACACTTGCAGTTTATTTTAATATCAATTTCTGAAAAGCAACACACCTGAAAGTCATAACTGCGGAAAAGCTATTGAACGTCTCCATCGTATTGCCTTTCACACTGCCACTGCAGTTTTATTGTCTTTGCTTGTTGCACCACTGCTTTTTACAAAATGTAAAATTGTAATTTTAGGCTGGATGGCAGAATTTACATAAATAATTCTCATTTTAAAAAAGTGTCGACATGCAAAAAAGACTCAAAAGTGGTTCTTGAGATTTGACAACCAGCCTGATTGAACGTGCAAACGCAGTATGGACGTTGAAATTAGTGTTTAAAATAAATGCGTCCACCAAAAAAAAAACAACAACAACAACTCATATCCGATTAGACACTGATTTCTCAACTATCATCAGTATCGTATGAGCGGTCAGGGCGACTCTCTCACAGACTTCACAGTAAGTTAAACGTGTTGTGAGAGCTTTGCCGCTCTTCTCCAGAGCATGAGAGAAGGACGAGGCCGGGTGTTGTTAGGATTTCCTGACGGTTTTTAGTTTCTGGTGTCAGAACATTATCTGCCATGTGTCTGCACAATCTCAAGGGCAGGGCGAAAGAACCGAGGCCTGAGCCAAGAGCACAACTCCTAAGCCAAACAACACATTATTGCCTAGTAAAAATACTCATTTCTTTTATATCACTTTTGTGTACATTTATGCAGATGTCAGACATTATTTCCCATCGGACATTGGTCTCTGTGCTGGAACGCGTGACGGTGTACGATTATGAGAATATCAATTAAAACGTGCTGCGATTCTATTTCACCGTTGTAAATATCGACAGAGATAATCGTGCACTAAAAGATGGAGCGCGCGTCGGACGACCCTTTTACATTCTCTTTAGGATTAAATGTTCAATTATTATGAAATTTTAGTGTCAAAAGAAAAAAAAATCAATTACACTCACTGTTGCTTTTGTTCAATAAGCTCGCAAATTGCTATTGATTCTTATCGTTAGCATCTTCTGTACATTGCAGAGTGGGATGCTGTTTCTTGATTTTTTTTTTGTTGTTGTTGTTATTATGTATTCCTCTGTCTCTGTGCAAAGGTACTGTACGCAAAGACAGGCGGTTGAGAGAGGGTAAAGAAGGAATGAGTAAAAGGGGATGAGATTGAGAGAACGGGAAGCGCATTGATGTATTGACCCCGGCGCACTTGAAAGCCCTGAGAGCTGAGCGTTATCCGAGTTCTTGCGTAGAACAGGTGTGTGCATGAAACTGCAACGTTTTCAGTTGTTTAGCAGTGATTATTTAAGGCAACCGCTGATGTGTCAGTGTTATTACAATGTTATAACAGTATAATGACAATGTAATGTGTAATAAAACGATTAGATTTGTTGCAAAACAGATTTACACGGAAATGTCGTATTCGGATTGTCTTCTTTTGGCCAGTTTGGGATAATCACGTGTGTGTGTATGTGTATTAGTCAATGAATGGCTGTTCTGGTTTCAGTTCAGTGGTTCATCATGTGTGTTTGCTCTTCCTAAAACTATTGCCTCACTTCTGATCTCCCAACTTAACCTCTAGAAATTATTTAAAGGCAGCAAATATTTAATAGGCTTAATGCAATGTCAGTTCACAGAGGGGGGAAAAAACAGACACAATAAATCCATACATTTAATTTGGCTTGAAAATTGAAAAATATGAATACAGTTACAACGCTAATTGTCTCTCAGTATTTGCAGATTTGGCCTCTTCATTAGAGCCGCAGCGAAGACCATATCATAAAACACAATCACATTTTGTGCAAATAGTGTCGATTATTTTATCGAATCATAAAACAAATAAAAAAAAGCAAATTCCCGAAAAAGAGTTTTAATTGAGCTGGATGTAGAATTGTTGGTGGTATCTTAGACTTGAATATTCTACACTAACTGTAATATCTACACACGGCCCTGGTCTAATATCATTTCATCCGCAGATTGTGATTACGCTTCTCCCTCATTTCATAATTTGTAGACTTTCCTGGAGATTTAGAAAGAGGCATTTAAAAATATAAACCACTTACTATTGACACATTTAAAACGATTTGGTTTACTATCGCAACATGAACAGCCTAACAGAGGCAAGCATCAAAGTTTATGAAGTGACGTTTGCATAAAGTACATTCAAACTTCCCGTATGTAAAGCCATGACTCTAGCGTATTTCCAGGGGAGTTACTTTTACAGGAAGGCCACACATTCATCACAGGAAAACACATTTTCCTCACTCAACAATTCCAGGAGAAAGTTTCTCTCTGGCATATAAGCATGAGCGATGCCAGCGGACTGGACTTCCAGGTCTTAAGCCGCCAAACATCTTCAGTAAACATTACATTACATTTATTCATTTAGCAGACGCTTTTATCCAAATGAGAACAATAGACAGTAGGACAACAAAGGCAAGTGCTATGACTCATCTCAGTTAAATTTAACACAGTTTTTTTTTTTTTTAAAGAATAGAATAGAAGTGTTGGTATTACTAGATCAAGTGCTGCCGAAAAAGATGCGTCTTCAGCAGTTTTTTGAAAGTGGCTACTGACTCAGAAGCTCTGGTTGAGTTAGGCAGATCATTCCACCAGCAGGGAACAGTCATGGAAAAGGTCCGAGAAAGAGATTTTTTACCTCTTTGAGATGGCACCACAAGACGACATTCGCTTTATTCTGGATGGCACATTAGTCTAAAGTAGTGAGTAGAGCCAGTGGTTGTTCTGTAGGCGAACGTCAGTGACTTGAATTTAATTCGAGCGGCAACTGGTAACCAGTAGAGTATTCTGAGGAGAGGAGTGACGTGTGCTCTGGCTCATTGAAGACTACTCTGGCTGCAGCATTCTGGAGAGGTTTGACAGAGCAAGCTGGAAGAGCAGCCAGGAGAGCATTACAATAGAGGGAATGCATTGACGTCACTTTCCCGCCGGAACAACCACCCTCAGCCTGACTTGAGTGGCAAAAGATCTGCTGCGTGACTGGATTTAATAGGGGAAACTGCGACTAAAACAAACAATTTTATCAATTTAAACTAAATGTTGGACTCAATATAGTGTTCCTTACAACTTACTAAAGATCCAGTGATCCATGGATATTGACATGCAGCCAGGAATTGTGTTGCCTAACATTTATGTTTGCCTGATTTCGACACCGGGGAAATAAAAGCAATATACACCTAAACATAAAGCAAATTTTCCTGTGAATGCTTTATATAAAAGGTCTAAATCCTGGTGATCACTTATATCAGTGTTATATACAGCCTATCATCATATCATTCAGCCTTAAAGGGTTAGTTCACCCAAAAATGAAAATTAAGTCATTAATTACTCACCCCCATGCTGTACCAACCCCGTAAGACCTTCGTTCGTCTTCGGAACACAAATGAAGATATTTTTGATTAAATTTGAGAGCTGGATCACTACCACATTGGCTCCTAAGGGACTGGCTCTTGACGGCCCAGAAAGTCAATGAAGAAAATGTTTAAATATCCCAAGTGACTACCGTGGCTCAACTATATGTTTATCAAGCGACGCGAATACTTTTTGTGCGAAAAAACAAACAAAAATAACGAGTTTATTCGACTATTTCTTTTCTTCCTTGTAGGCCAGAACGAGACTTCCTTATAGATTTCCACGACGCATGCGCGAGAATTGCGATCTGAAGTAGTGTAAGCGGTGTAAGCCGATCGCAAATCTCGCGCATGCGTCGCGGAAATCTAAGGAATTCTCGTTCTGGCCTACAAGGAAGAAAAGAAATAGTCGAATAAATAAACTCGTTATTTTTATTTTACTATTTTTGGCTTTATTACAATTTTATTTGCTATCGTTATTGGGGTTATACTGAAAAGAGACAGCAAATAAAATTGTAATGTCTAATTAATTAAATGATTTTTTAAAAATGTTACCACTGTTGTGGTTTGCATGCTGAATGTTGAAGTCTGTGTGTGACTCAACCAAAATTGCAAGATATTGTCACAAATATAGAGGGATTATATCAACCCAATTAAAGATTTATGCCATAAGCGTTAGCAATAAAATGTTAAAAGATCATTATTATACATGAAATATATTTATGTTATATATAATTTATTAATTAATTTAAGTGTGTGTTTGTATATATATATATATATATATATAAAAATTACTTCACTTCCTTTGAAATCAAATAATTATGATTTCAAGTTGCATCACTGCGAACAATTGG